AAAATCCAACCGTTAGATTGAAAGTTCATATCTCTTAAATCATATATATCAAATTTTATATTAATCTAAGATGATTTGATACTTCATTTTCATAAAACAAAATTGACGTAATATATACATTTCAAAATATACTAAAATATGAACACTTTGATTACCTTGAAGTTGTTGTTCAAAGTATTTATTATATATTTTCCTGTTATACCCTTTAGGTGGTTGGAGAATAAATAATATTTTAGAAAATGAATAGACACATTGTTCAGTAAACATGTATTAATTATTAAGGATAAAAATGAAAAAAAATTAATAAATCATTAATTTTAAAAAAAATAACAATAAAAAATATAATAAAATCTGACAAAACGACCATGAAAAAAAATTGAGAGAGTATATATATATATATATAAAGATTAACTGACATTTAAAGATAGAGTTATGTTTTTAACAGAGTTTTCAATACGGGTTCTGAAACTGATAGACTAAAGATTGAAAAGTGGGTCGAGATAGTTTCCATAGAGGTCATAACTTCTGTTGATCTGTCTAGTTTGACAGAATGGAAAAATCAATTCATTTTATTTTTCATAAATTTACATAATTTTGCAAGAGAAAAAAATATTGTCTATATATGTTCGATAACTTTTTAACTAGCAAAATTTGGAAGACTAAAAACAATTTTTTTTAGAGACTAAAATTAAATAGAATTAATTTTTTAAGGATAAAACCATAACCTTTTAAATTATTTCATTCGTTTTGTATCTTTTGATGTCGTAACTTTTTTTTTTCTTTTTTGAAATTATTGATCTATTACAAAATCTAAAATACCATTAACCACTGCATGAACCAACTAACACTTGAATGTTAAAATGGCTTGAACCTAATTAGTTAATTCACTGTATCAGGTTAGGTTGAGTGATTCAATTTTCAAATTGCATGACCCAGTTTGCATAGTGTGATAATCCAATGGGTCAAAGGTGGGCTTCATTGACCCGCTATATATATATATATATATATATATATATATAAAAGCTCAA